CCCCCTCCCCCCACATACAGCCTCGCCCATTCATAACGACTCGCAGTGCTAAGCCCCGCCACTTCAAACTTTTTGGCAGAGTCCAACAACTTTGAGGCTTGATTAGTTTCGGGCGCTTACAACACACTCTTGGGATTGGCCCGTGCTTCGGCGACGGGATGCAAATTCGCAGGCCGCGATCCCAACCAGGCCACGTTTGGCGGCCTTGCACTCGGTCGTTCACGACCTTGCACGCAGGTTTGCTCGCGGCCTTGTCCCGCCCCACGGCCCTGGTCGTTACGACCTCGGACATGAACGAGGTCGAGCACATGACCCGTATTGCCGAAAGAGCGACCTGGTTACTCCCAAAACAAGGTTTTTGAATCAAAAAAATATCCTTGAACAAGTCATTTTCCTCGACCTATGTTAGGAAATCGACTTGTTCCAAGAATATTTACAAGAAACCTCTTGTTTTTGGTGCAAGGATATGGAAAATCCCGCGTGCGTCGTTAATACAACATGTTTTCCCTGACCTTGGCACATTTAGAACCGACTTTTGTTATTAATTGTTCACCGACGTCGTACTTCTTCGTCTCCCGTGTTATTTACCAGGAAAGAAATCGATTTGGAAACGTTAACAGAATTAGACGCTTGAATGCCATGATAAAGGGTTGAAGGGAAAGGGGGAGAGAGAGAAAGACGTCTGGGCCGAACGGGGCTCGAGGAAGAGGGGGAATCATTATAATAAAACGTCGGATTAAAACCTTAATTGCCTTAGTCCGGCTAGCCAAGATCTGCTTCAGCAATAAATCAGTTTTTTTCCCCCTCATTCTGACTTTTTCTTGGTTGAAGTAGCACAGTGCAGGGGAAGCTCTCGACTTAATGAAATAATGGACGCTAAGCCAGGCGTGGCAGCGAGCGGCCAGGCAGCCAACCAGCTAACCAGCCGGGCCGCCCTCCAGCCGACCAGCCCCTATAGCTATACAAGTATAAACTATGCAACTAGCGATTTTGGCAGCTGCCCGCTGATTCGAGATCCGGCAGGGACGTCACGCAGCTCACTGCAAATCAGAAACGCAAAGTGTGTGAATGTCACACACTTGCAGATCTGTGAACGCCATGTCTATAACACGAGGAACAAGCGTGCGAGTTATCAAAGAAAAATAATTTACACCCCCACCATTTACTTCCTGTTTAACACGTTGAGTGCGGCGCCAAAAAAAGAAGGATGTCCCAGGAGCCGAAGGTTTTTCTAAACGCCATACATTGGGGCCCACCGTGTGGGTCACGTCGCCCTGTGGGACATAATGCTGTGACCCACGGTGTGGGTCACGACGCACTCAACGTGTTAAATAGGCATTTACACGCCAACAAGTGTGTTCCTTTTACACACTTTTCGGTGCAGGTCCAATGCGTCCCGCCCCTTGCAATGCGCGGAGAACTCCGTATTTGTTCCCGGCAAAGTTAAATAGCGCCCTGGCCCTGACCGACCCGGCAGCGGCGACGACGGGGACGCGGTCGATGGGACGCGGTGCGGCATCAAACGAACATTTGTTTGGCGACAGCATGCGCTCTTTTCGACGAAGTGCGCTACTAACGACCACCTTGACTCTATTTACGTCCCCCATACACACCCTCACGGAAAACAAATAATGACGCGGTATTTGCACTGATTAAAAGACCGTGAATACTTTGGTGTGTACAACTGCCAAGTTTTAAACACTTGCAAGTGTCTCAACACATTTTAACCACTGCTCGCTAAATATGCTAAGTTAAACCTATGTTTCGTTTCGGACAAATGCGTGTGTAAAAATTCTTAACTTCAAAGTGCTCAAATGCGTGTTTAAATCAACAAAGAGCTGTGTGCAAAAAATGGATCGCTTTCATTCTTGATTTAATGCATTCAAATAAAAGATACATATCTTTTGAACAAATCCAGTTAGTGTGGGTTAAGTTGCATATAGGTGCAAGTTGATTGTTAGTTGTGCAAACTGTCCCGTTGCAGTCTTTCCAATTTGAATTCTTTCAAGTCAAGAAAGTGCGTGCAGCTGGAACTATCGAGTTGGACACTTACGAGTGCATAGCAATGTGTATTAAACCCCTTGTAGCACTAAACATTCAGACAACGTTCTAAGAACATTCTTTTGGTTCTCTGAAGGTTCTGTAAACGTTTTAAGAACGATATGTGCTACAAGGGACCATTGTAAGTCTTTATCTGGTAGTTCCACATTTTCAATGGTTTAGCATTCTTTTTAGTGTGCCACTAATTTTCTTTCCGGGGGTTACGTATCTGCAATGGGGTATCGCACCTGCTGTTTCCCTAAATCTCGTTATGGAGTGCCGATGCCAATCGAGTACGGAAGAATTTCCTATAGGCATGCGGGCAGGACGCTGCAAGTTGGTTCCAACCAAACTACACGCCTCCGCTTTCCTCGACAGAGTGATTACTGCACGAGGTGACGCGCCCCTTCACAACATTTGTCCCTTTGACGCGCCGCCTGGCGCCGGGCCGCCGCTGACAAGGGCGATTTATTCGCTGTTGTCGCCGATTGTCTGGCTTGCACCTGTTACGGCGTGACGGCCCCACGCCATCACTGCGCCATTGATCCCACTCAAGTGCCTGGCGCCCTGCCGGCCCGCCCCCGACCCGTCCC